GTCCCTGACAGAAACTCCTGCGTCTGTGGGGGACTGTGACTCATCTGAGTGTGAAATGTGGTGATCGTCTCTAAACAAAGAGCTTGCACAAGGTCCAGAAAATGTTTTAATGGTGTTAGTTGCCTTTGGTGTGCTTTGTTCTCTTGGACAGCACAAAGCAAAATATCAGTAGCCTGCAGAGGAAGTCACAGTGCCCAAATATAGCTGGTTCAGGAGCCACCAGCAATAGTCAGACACTTGCATGAGGCAGTTTGGCAGCAGGGCGAGCACTACCTAGTCCAGTTTCTGAGATATTTTCTTACAAGAAAAGGTTAGGATGTTCCTGCCAAATACAAGCCTCTCTCCAGGAGCCTTTCTTGGGTTAGGAAGCTGTTTGCTGGGTTCAGTAGAGGGATGTTCTGTTCTGAAAGAGACTTGAAATGCCGCTCAGATCTGTTTGTTCTGCTTCACAGATACCGGTCCCTGCTTTTAGCCTGGTTACAAAAGAAGGCCAGCCGGTTCACTACGACATGGAGGTCCCCGACTCTGGTATTGAGCTGCAGTGCACCCTTGCCCCTGATTGCAGCGTCAGCTGGACATGGCGAGTCAAACACGGTCAGCTGGAGAACAGGCCATGAAACCATTCCTGTTGTAGAGGTTTTTACCTTGTTGAAAGAAGGAGTTGTAAAAGCTTCCAACCACCCCTGCCATGGAGCACCAAGTGCAGTTGCTGGTGTTTTGTGCTGAAGTAGGATAGCGGTTCAGCTCACTGCTCTCGGACCTCACTTCTGCTGTCTGTTCTGATCCAGTTCCAAAACATGTCCTGAGCTTAGATGTTCCCCAGAACAGTGGGAATTACTTGTTTTGGGTGTGAGTGTTAAGTTGAGCTTGAGAATGGTGGGTGGCAATTCCTGCTTTTCAGAGGAATGCGATTGTGCTTTTCAGGAGAATAGGAGGATTGGATGAGAACTCTTGTTGCTCAGCCTCTGAGGTGAAGCTGGTAGTTGCTGGCTTTGCCCAAAGGAGAAGGTTGGGTATCTTCAGTGCAGCTGTGGTTGGTTGTGCCGAGGGGAGCTGGCTAACTTCCTTCTAGTTGGAGGAAAAACTTAACGTTTCTGTAGGCTTTGGGTAGCATCATTTCTACCTCAAGCCTTTTGCATGGGGAAAATGACAGCGGTAACTAGCTGGGTTCTTGGTTTCACCTCCCACCCTTCCCCGCAGACGCTTCCTTCTTGAATCAGAAAAGATCTTTGTTCCCAGAAAGAGCTTTGCTTGCAGCTCTCATCTTCAGGTCTCCTCCCCAACTTGGGAGCTGGTGCTGCTGCCAACGTTGTCTGGCAGGTAGGGCAGGAGGAGGGCATGGTATTCCTTGGTGGGCAGGCTGGAGGGGTTGTATTCCTCCCCCCTGTTTCCACTGCTGACTTGGGACTTGGCGTGAACGGTCCCGTCCAGGCTGCTGCCCCCGCAGGGGGAAGGGACGGTGCCTCAGTCAGCTCAGACAAGGGCTGAATTTTGCTGCAGCATTTATAAAAATCTCGCTCCCAGCTATCAACCCAGCCGGCCGCTCGGCCCCTCCGCTGGAGGCCAGCGCCCCAGCTCTGCCTGGTGTGTAGCTCAGCCTGTCTTCACGAGCACCTGCAGACTGGCGTGAGGCTTCATGCTGCTCCCCTTACGTCAAAACGTATAAACGGAGTGGGATGGGCAGCTGGGCCCAGAATGCCTTAAGCTTTGAACTTTTTTTTTTGTAACTGATTTGTGAATTGTTTGGAGTATACTGAAACTGCATGAGTCAAATTCAGATGGGCAGGTGTTGTCAGCCCTTCTACAACCCAGAACTAAACCAGAGGGAGGTGTAAGCTGTGCGTGTACTTGTTCAGGACTGCTGGAAGTCCTTGCAGGCCTGGAAATCACGGTCACTCGACAGGGTGCTGGGGCTCTTCCGAAGCTGTAACTCTAGCAGCCTCTGAGCAGGGGCTGTCTACAGCCAGGCTGAATAGAGAAACAGCTCCCAAAAGGTAAGGTGGGCCCTGCCACATCCACGCTGGTTCTGGGGGACACAACAGGGCAGCAATGTTGGTGGTTTTCTCAAGTGAAGTCCACTTGAAAAACAACTGGGAAAAGTTATACTCTGGGCCTCCCTCTTTGAGGACTGGTGCTCCTCAAGCAACTGAGACTCTTTCCCTTTGGTCTCCCAGAACATTGGCTGGTTTTGATACTCTAGGCAGTGACATCCCTATTCAGAAAACTGAAGTTGTGATGTAATAAAAAAGTGGAACTCTTGAAGAAAAAAATTAAACCTGTCACCACTATGGGTATAGTTTTTATAGCACTTTTTGTTCTAAAGCACTTAATATGTTGTCCACAATAGGCACCTAATTATATCTGAAATGCCACATTAAGAGTCTTTTTAGTAAACAATTAACACATTACGCACATGTCTTCCAGGAAGGAGTGGGGGGAATGGGTAGGTTGGCTCAATTTCTTTTTTCAGATGCCATAAACTACTAAAAATTGTAAGCTCTGGTGCAGGAGAAAGCAAACTTGCCTCTCCAGGGTTCCCAGGAGCTCCCAAGCACATGTTCAGTGCACCAACCAAACTCCCCATGCCTGGCACCCTTCCAGGGCTTCCTCTGAGGGGGGGAGGAGAAAAACCTGTTGGTTGTTTCTAAGAAGAGTCTGTTGGTGATGTGTCAGAATGACGCATCGCTGTTGGTGATGCGTCAATACGAAAGCATGGTCTGTGCCCTCCCCAAAGGCTGCATCTCGTGGCTTTCACTGTTGTCTGCAAAATGCTTCGATGTACAGGTGTAACGGTTTTGTGTATCGGTGTTAGACTCGAGTTCTTCCGAGCAGGAGGGCAGGATGCAGCAGCCCTCTGTTTGTAGGACTTCTGAGCTTTACACTTCATCTACAGCATTAACGTTAATCTCAGGCCACCTACACGACTGGGTGAAAGGCAGCAAACCCTTGCGAACCCAGAATGTCTTTGTTGGGTAGATGGAGATGTCTGTGTTCTCCTGTACTCTCACACCAGCATTAGCCAGTCTCTCCATCCTCTTTGTTTTGTCTAAAACCTTCAGTCCTGTTCTGCTGCCTCCTCAAGTGAGAAAGCGAGGCTGCAGATTCCTACCTAACAAATCTCTTATGTGACAGTGGGCCAGACAAGCGGGCTGTGGCCTCAGCAGTCCCTGCCAGCTGGGAAGGACACTTGGGCTAATCCCACAAACCACTGGTGCTTTCTTACTGTCTGGAAATGTTGTTCTCCTCTCAGGAGTATCTCCAGGGTTTTCATGGTTTTGCTACCTACCAGCTTGGGATCTCCTCGACTCTGTCCTGCTGCCAGGACAGTTTCCTCTTAATTTGGCTGGTCATCTTTGCTGTAACAGGCATAAGAAGTCCAGCTTCCAGATCAAGGTTGGCTGTGCAATACTGACAGAAGCAAAAGTCAGGAAAGCTTTTTGTAATTCACGTTAAAATTTGGCTGAAACTGTATAACAACATAACTAGTCTTTAGGACAGAACCCCAGCTCAGGATAGGGAGGACAAATAGCAGTAGGAGTGATAAACACAGATGGCTCCTGTCATGTAGCTCCTTCCGAAAGTCTGGAAAAATCACTGTTGGCAAAGCAAGATGAAGCTGATCATCTCTTAGGGATGGGAAGTACTGGTGTGGGTGAAGGAGATGGAATGACTAGCTTGTATTGAACGAATGACACTTTATAAAACTGTGATTTCTTGAAAATAACATTTCACAGGGGAAAAAAAAAAATAAAGCTGGGAAAAAAGATTCTCCGTTCTCATTGCTCGTGGTTTGTTACGTTGCTCCACAGAACAAGACAAGGATGCTGACTAAGATGTTTTTCAAGAAGGAAAGCCTGGTCTGATTAAATTCTGGTATATATTATATAAATAAACCCTTGGTTTTGGGGGATGCAGGGGGAAGCCATTTCTGGGTATGAAGAGGCATCATCTAAGCACAGGATTTGCAAATTACACTGGTAGCTCGCTCTGTTTCCAGGTAGATTGTCCCTTTTCCTCCTCTCCCATTGCAGGCAGAGGGATTGGCTGTACTGGGAGCTGCTGAGTCTTCCCCTCAATGGTGCAAAAGTAGGTCTGGGATGCAGAGGCACCAGCTCAGGCAGGCAGAGCTCTAGAGCTTCGCCCACACCTTTCAGCAAGTGCTTCTGCTCGCTGGTGGTGCAGGAGCTGTTTGTCTCCACTTAGGTGGGGCATTTTATGTTAAATCAGGGCAGCGGACTGGGGGCGTGCTGGGGGCAGTGCCAGGGAGCAAGGGTATCACAAAACAAACCCAAATTGAAGTGGAGGGGGAGTTGCTCTCACGTACCTGTGTTTGTGCTGCAAATGCAGAAGTCAGATCAGTTGTCCGCCAAAAAAAAAAAAAAAAAGGAAAAAGGTGGGTGTTTTGTCACTAGACTACCCTGTAAAGGTACAGATCAGCTTAGGGAAGCACTAGACCACCTCTTGTCTCTGAGGACAGCCCAGCTGAGGCGCAGTGTGAAAGCTTGTGTGGGGCCTTTGCCCTGAGCTTTGAGCTGGACCCAGCTTCTCTGCGAGCCCTCTGCTCTTCCACGCTGGGGAGGGCAGGAGCTGAGGGCTCCTGTGCGGGTGCTGCGGGTCTGGTGGCCTTCTCAGAGACACTTGTGTAGTAAGAAGTGGACCTGCCCCTTAGAAGAGTCATAAGTCCTGGCTTTTCCCTTCTCTTGTCCTGTGACGCTCTTATTCGTCATGTTTTCACCCATTAGGTCACCCCTGCCTGGGAGCAGCCGGTAATGGAAGGAGCTGCAGGGCTGAGTAGAGCCTTGACGTTGCCCAGCTGCAGTCAGGGGCAAGTCTGAAATACATCTGCCACTTAAAAATGCTCAGAGGAGCACGGTCACCACTCCTGGAGCTGTCCTTACACCAGAGATCACGCCTGTTAGCAGAGCAATGAGCAGCAACTCATTCATCCCTCCCTCCCTCCACTGCAGAGCTTCACCCCTTCTCACAGACAAATGCTTTATTCTTAGGGTCGTTTTATTACCAGTTCTGCTTTAGATTAAACAGGCCTTCGGTTTATAAAAATAATGTATACAAATTAGCAGTTAATGTTTTACATTTCTGGCTTAAAGGCATTTATAACTTACACATTCATTTCCCTTCCCTCCCCTCTGAGCTTGGGTGATACCGAGCCGGCCGGCGCTTAGCATCTTAATTACAGCAGGAAGCAGTCGCTGCTCTGGCTTACAGCGAGGACTTACCCCGGTCTAAAAGCTGGGGCTAGTGAGAATGTACACGGCAGCCACGCAGCGGGGCGAGCAGGGGCCGTTTCATGAAGTGAATGCGTTAACGGGTTAATTGCGACAGCGCGTGGTTTGGATTTACGGAGCAGCAGCAGGGCTGGGGAGGAATTAAGTCCAGTGCGTTATCTGGAGGTTTGTGCAGCTCTCTGGCCTCTTTCTCCTGCGTGATTTCAGCAGTGGCCCTGCAGCCTTTGGGGACAGAGGGTGTGCTGCGGGGGCTGGAGGCTGCCTAGCACCGGCTGACACTCGCTCTTCCCGCTGAGAAGCTCCAGCCCCGGCAGCGGAGGCGGGTGCCGGGGATGCAGGAGGACAGAGCGAGGTACCACCTCGCCGAGCCCTGCGGACGGTCAGTCCTTGGCCCTGCTGCTGCTGGCTGTAGCTACGGAGCCTCCCCTGCAGCGAGGGACAGCCCAGTGCTGCTCACCGCAGCCTCAGGATCCTGGTGAGACCCTGGATCTGGGTGTTCCAGTCCCTGTTCCTGTGGCACAGAGAAATTTTAAGGAAGACATATAAAATCCCTGTAAAATAGCACCCCTGCCAGCTCCTGGGGGACGGGAAGTGCCCAGGGTGGGATCTTTGCAGCAGGCTCCTCGCTGGAGAGGAGGCGCAGCCCGTGCTCGCTCGGCTCTGCAGCGGAGGAGAACACGGTCTGGAAGGGCTGGGGGAGAGGGGGGAGACGTCCGGGGAGCGCTGCGCCCCCGGCTTCTTACAACCCTCCTCCCCTCCTGCAGCGGGAAATCAAAGGCACCAGCAAGCTGAAGAGAGGGGCCCACCACTGCGCAGGGCTGGCCCTGAGATGTGTGCGATGGAGCAGCTCTGGGGAGGGATGGGGCAGCCTCTCTTTTCCTTCCAGGACAAGTTGGGGCCCATTCTATGTGCCCCCCTCCCTGCCCATACCCCGGAGGGTCCCCCGGCCCTGCCAGCCTGGAGGAGAGGAGCTCAGAGGCTTTGCTAAGCAAGCGCCGGGGATCCCCGCGCCGGAGCCAAGGACATGCAGGGTGGGAGCTGGCGTGCCAAGCGGCTGGAGCAGCCAGGAGCGGGCACTGTCCCCCCGCCCCGCGTCTTCCCAGGCTGACAGGGTGACATCCTGCGGTCCCATCTGCAGCAGGAGGGTGGTCCTGCCCCGGTCCTGGCAGCTGCAGGGACGGCGCCGGTCACAGCGAGATGTCCGGCGTCGCCTGCAGGCTCTGCCCCGCAGCCCGCTTCTTGGCGCTGCCGCGGCCCTTGTCTGCGCGCCGGTACGGGTTGTTCCGCAGATCTGCACCGGGAGGGAGTGCAGAGGTTGGCTGAGCTCCGCCTGGCCAAGGCCGGGACCCAGGCACCCCCCCATCGCCCAGGAGTCACCCCACCGGGGTACGAGGATGCTCGGGAGGTGCCCAACCCGTTGCACACAGGGATGGGAGCAGCAACAGCTATGAACAACCAGCCTGGAGGACCCTGTCCCCTGACTCTTTGGGTGTTCAGCACCATAATTTGATGCCATGGTGCCCCCAGGGTTGGCTTTCAGCATGGGGCAGAGTCCAGCCAATCCACCACGCAGCCGGAGGTTGCCCAGGAGGGTGGCAGAGCCTGGCAGCCCCTGCCCGCGCGGTGCCCCGGGCCCGGCTGCCCCCACGTTACCTACAGAGGACTCTCCTCGTTGAAGCTCACATCGCAGAAGAGCCGGGACGAGCGCTTGCCCGTCCGAGCCGTGAAAGGAACAGTTTTCAGAGCTGAGCAGAGCAATCCAGAGAGACAGCAAGGAGGAGGAGGAGGAGAGAGGGGGAAGAAGAAGCAAAAGAGGAGGAAGAGCTATGAGGCAGGGCAGAGAGCGCCCAGCACCTTTGCCGCATGGGATGGTGGGTTTGGTCCCCACGATGGGGCTCAGTAGCCCTCCAGCTCTAGGCTGTGACAGACCCCTGTCACCAAGGGTCTCCCCACTGGCACCAAGCGCTGGGTCTGTGGCAGCAGGGGACGCCTGACCTCTCACCTGAAATAATATCCTCGATGGCCCCGTCTTTTCCTTCATAGATGAGCGGCTCCTTCACCATCTGCTTCTTCTTCAGCTCAGCGATCATGTCCATCTGCTGTCGCTTGGCCTTCTGGATGGGCAACTGCGGTTGGGGACAGCGCAGGGTGAACAACGTGGCCTCCCACCGCTCCCTGAAGGAGATGGGGTGCCCCTGTCTTCACCCCCCACCCAGCTCTCCCCGACCAGGACCTGTTTTGCCCCTACCCACCACGCAGCCCTCGGGGGGCTGCCCGGCCAGGGCACAGGGACACAAGGGGAACCTTCACCTCAGGCTGCTCCTCGCTGCCAGGGGGGCTGGATTCTGCCTTTTTGGCCGCGGCTTCTTGTTTCTTCCACAGCTCAATGTCCTGCTCTGCTTTCTTGGGAGAAGCGCGGGGAGGGTGTGCTGAGTTGGGGGGCTCTGCTGTGGGGGCTCAGGCCCCACCTTCTCCCCTCTAATCCCCAGCTCACCCCAACCCAGCTCCAGCATCTCTGACCACCCTGAAGGGCAGCACCAAGCCCCAGGTTCCCCTGGCCCTGTGACCCTCCAGCCTCACAGGTGGCTTTTTCTCGTTGCCCCAAAGTGGGGTCAGATCCCCCCCTGGACCCCAAGTCCCCTTGCAACCCCCATAAACAAGGAACTCCTCATCCCCTCCTACCTTGTAGGCTCTGATGAAGCGCATGAACATGGGAAAGAAGGTGGTGGGGGGACTGGTCTTGGGGTTCTCTCCGAAGTACTCCACGGCTGACTCGTATGCCTCCTGCGGGCAGAGACACCCCGATCTGGGGGGGTGGGGCCAGGCAGCAATGCCCCATCACCCATTGCCTCTTCCCAGCCTCTCCCACCTTGGCATCCCCCTCTGTATCCCCCCCAGCTCCTGGCTTTCCTGCTGGAGCCACATCCCAAGCAGGAGCCTCTCCCATGATGCAGAGGTGTGAGCAGAGAGCACCCCGGGGTGTGGCCATGCAGGAATGGGGGGGCCCAATCCTGCTCCATGACCCCACACTACCCCCAACACCCACCTTGGCAGTTTTGCTGTCAGCCTGCAGCTTCTCCATCACCTCCAAGTTGACCTTGAGGAAGTCCTTGAGCACGATGCTGTCATCCTGCCGCATGAACTCCTTGCGGGTCAGCTCCATCCCCTGCTGCAGGCTCCGCACGTCCTGCAACACGCTGTCCAAGGAGACTGCGGGGAGGGCGAGGGTCAGGGCAGGCTCAGAGAGCCCCCACACTAGGGCTGCAGCCTGCAGTGACCCCCCAGCCCCGTGCCCACAGGCACTACCTGTGCCCGCCTTGTCAAGGAAGTGCAGCTCGGTGTGGAAGCCGGTCAGCTCGGGGTACTTCTCCATGATCACCCGCACCAGGTAATGCAGCAGTGTTTGCTTGCGGTCTGTCGACTTCATCTCCAAAAGCTGGGAGAGAGCAGTGTCAGCCCCAACCTGCATCCTACCGCCCCACCCCACCCCTTCTCAGGGCAGGCTCTTGTGGCCCTCCATCCCCACGGCTGGTTCCCATCTTCCTCCATCCCCACGGCTGGTTCTCATCTTCCTCTGTCCCCCCAGCTGGGCCTTTCATCTCTCCATCTCTCCATATCTGGTCTGCACCCTTCCAGCCCCATGGATAGTTCTTGTGTTATCTCCATCCCTTTAGCTCCTCCCCATGTCTCTCCACCCCTATAGATGGTCTCTTCATCCCTCCATTCCCACAGCTGATTCCTGTGTCCCTCCATCCCTATGGCTGGTCCCTGCATCCCTGGAGCTGCTGCCCATTCCTCTCCAAACCCTATAGACGGTCCCTGCATCCATCCATCCCCACAGAAGGTTCCCATGTCCCTTCATCTCTACAGCTGGTCCCTGTGTCCCTCCATCCCCGAGGCTGGTCCCCGGGCAGTGGCAGTGCCCCCGTGCCCCAGCACACCGGGCAGCCCCACGCCAGCCCTACCGCATCGAGGCTCTGCAGCCGGAAGCCGTAGGCTGCCCCGCGCTTGCTGCTGTTCATGTAGTTCCCGAAGGCCAGGACAATCTGCGGAGACACAACGGCTCAGGGACACAGCCCGGCACGATGGGGTACCCTGGGGGCACACAGTGCCTGTGGGCACCCTGGCAGCACCCTGTGTGCACCCGCCCCAGCCCAACTTCCCCCCATCAGGGCCACCACACCCCAAAGTCCTCACCTCGAGGATGTTGCGCAGCTTGCTGGAGGACTTGAGGGACATGGAGGCGGCGATGATGGCGTTGAGTTGCTGGGGGTGGGAGAAGCGTGTGAGTCTCGCTGCAGGATGTCACCCCCTCGCAGCCCCCCACCCACAGCCACCCTGTGTCCCACCCAGCACCCACCGGCATGAGCAGCTGGGCCGTGTCATTGAAGTTGCCCAGGAAGATCATGACGTTCATGCGCTCGGCCAGGCGCGGGATCTTGCTGAAGCGGATCATGAACTGGTCCTCGTCCGAGAGCTCCTCCACTGGCTGCTGCTCCCGCTCGAACTTCCCGATGAGTGTCTGCTCGTACTCAGTGGGCAGGAAGCGCAGCAGCAGCTCCAGAAAGTCGAGGCTCAGGGCTTGCTGGTCATACCTGCAGGTGGTGGGAGGTACCCAGCGCAGTCAGACCCTGCAGCAGAGCCCCCCTGTCACCCCTGTCACCCATGGCTGGTTCCATCTTCCCTCCATCCCCACAGTGGGACCCTGCATCCCTCCCTCCCCACAGCTGGTGCCATCACATCCAACCCCAGCACAGCCCACACCATCCTGACCTCTCGGTGTAGCTGGGCTTGTGCCCGACCTTCTCCCATCAAGGAGGGGACACTCACGTCTCAATGGCCATGCAGATGTCCTGGATGTTGCGGCCACCCTTGCGGAGGGTGATGGCCAGGTTCTTGGCTCGGTTGGACTCCATGAGGGTGACCTTGCTGGGAGCCTTCTGCGTGGCCTTCACCTTGAGGGCACTGATGTCCAAGCCAGGGCCCTGTGCCTTTGTCTTGAACTGCTCCTCAAAGTCACTCATGTCCAGCTCCTGCAGGAAGACAGGGCTGAGGGCACGGCAGGGAGGTGGTGCAGGACATCTGGGACAAGGACGGGGTCAGAGGACCAGGACAAGGGGGAGAGGAGTGAGAGGATGAAGATGGAGCAAGGGGACAAGGAGAAGGACAGGATAAGGGTACAGGGAGGGCGTAAGGAGAGGACAAGAGGATCAGAGGATGAAGACAAAGAAGACATGGACAGGATGTGAGGATGAGGAGGGAGCAAGGAATGGGTGACAGGAGGAGCATGGCAGATCCCATGTTGTCCCTCTCCATGGCACCAAGGTTCTGCTCCAACCTTCAGCTCCACCAGCAGCCACGTGACACCACGGATGGGTGCAAGGTGAGCATGGGGGCAACCTCAGCGGTATGGACTGAGGCACTGGCCCAGCCCAGCACCTCAGGCCTGGACCCCCCTGGACCCCCCAGTGTCCTCACCTGCAGCACCTTCTCATCGTTTAGCTCCGTGAAGACGGTGCCATCGATCTGGCTCGGCTTCAGTGCCACCCAGTTGAAGATGGGCATGCGAAATTTGGTCTGGATTGGCTTCTTCACCTTCACTGTGGGGTGATGGAGAGGGGGGGCACATGTCACAGGGTGGGGGGGTCCCAAACCCACCCCAGGATGCCTCCAGCCCTCGCCTGGGGGACATCCCCACTATCCCTGGGCCAACTCACCTGAACCGCCGGCAGCGTGGGGGGCACCCAGCCCGGCTGGAAATGGCCCACCGAGGGGTGGGGGTGGTGGAGGTGGGGGGACAGGGCCCTCCAGCCCCCCAGGGAGTGGTGGGGGTGGTGGGGGCACTTGGGCACC